GGACTTTTTTAAAACGCCCCGGGACACAGGACAAATTGTTATAAATCGTGACTGTCCCGCTGAAATCGGGACATCTGGTCACCTTAGAATAAGGGCTTCTCTCCTGTGCTATCTGCTGTGCTCTTATTCCCATTTTATGTACACCCACCACATACAGTGTTATGCAAAAGTTTAGGCCAGGGGTCTCCAAGCTTGGCAACTTTAAGACTTGTGGACTTCAATTCCCAGAATAGCTGGCTGGAGAATTCTGGAAGTTGAAGTCCACAAGTCTTAAAGTTGCCAAGTTTGAAGATCTCTGGTTTAGGCAGTCTGAGGAAATTGATTGCTTAAATGAATCCCAAAGGGAATGGAAGGTGATACAAACCTCTACGTGAAACAAAGATAACCTCTTTCTGGAAACATGAAAGCGTATGTATTATTTATCTGGATTTGCTTACAATTCAAATACGAAAACAGTGGCTATGGCTGGTGGGACTATTTGAAACTCCTCCTGTGGCAAAAATGAAAACTGTCCAATGTATCCTATATCCAGCTAAGAGTCCTGAATTTTCCCCTACTCTTCCTTGCAGTACCTTTCTAGCTTAGAAACCGTCTTAGATTTCCTTGCATGCAGTGCATGTTTGAGATCTCCTTACTGGTTTTCAGTAAAATTCACATCTAGGAATTGTGAAGGCTTTATAAAACCTTTATCTTTCTTTCCAGTAAAGTATGGTTTGGACTTGCTGAAATACCAGGTCTCTTTTCAGCCTGTTTTTTTTTTTCAGTGACTGGCTAATTTGCATCCAATCTGAATTCAATTTATAAAATCTTTGATGGCCCAAGACAACATGGAACTAGTAAAGCTTCTTTCCCCAGATGTTCTCATCTAAAATCATATTTGGAAGCCCTGCACCAGGTCCTCTCATATTATGCATTGTAGAGAGTGGCTGCTTGGAAACAGACCTTTTCCATGGGATTCCCCCCCTCCCCCCTCCGTATTGGAATGCCTTCTCTCTGAGCAATGGCAGTACTGGGATGCATGGTTGTATTCAAATTAGGGAAATTGAGAACAGGGAATTACAATGCAGGCTTTCCCCTTCCCTTTTGCATGTGCATTGTATCTGCCTTCAAACTGGGTGGGGCTTGTACAGCAATGTTTTATCTGCCCTCTTGCCAATTCTAACCTTCTCAAGAAACCTTGCTATTTGTGAATTATGTTGGCTTTTCGAGTTCAGATCTTTCTACAGGTACCCCTTGCTTAACAACTAAAATTAGGATTGGTAACTCTATTGTTAAGCACCATGGCCACTAAGCAGAAAAAATGACTTGAGCGCAACAGGCTCACAGCCCAGTCAATTACACATTATCAGGATCATTATGTGAAATAATTTGTGACCACAACTTACGATTTTACTTCCATGTTCTGCATTAACTGTGCTTGTCACAAGTAAATTGGGAAGCATGTAAATGGCAATCACGCGACCACATGATGCTGCGATGGTTACAAATTTGAAGAGTGGTCACAAAGCTATCTTTTATACCATCATAATTTTGAATGGTCACTAAATGAGGCAGTCCATAAGTGAGGATTACTATATTGTTTCAGTAATCTTAATCAATTGATGTATTAAGTTATGGTACTTAGAAGCATTTTAATTACCATACAGACGGCTTTTATTTTTATTTATTTATATTTTGTATTTCCTAACCACCCATCTGGCTCAGATTATTTATTTATTTTATTGTATATTTTAATTATTGTGCACTATAATTGTATGTAATTATCTTAAAATTAGTGTATTTCAAAAAACTGTGGGATAAACCTACCTTATCAAGGTTATTTAATCTTTTAATCTAAAAGGAATTTTTAAAATTATACTGAATTTCATAAGTTATCCACTACGTGGAAAAAAATAATTCAGTCTGTTTGCAGGATTGTTCTAAACTAAACATCTTGTTCTAAACTAAAAACTTGAGATCCTCCTAAAAATGCTTTATAAATTGAAGTTTTTTATATTAGAATTTCAAATAATTCAAACTCTTACACGTCTCTATTACTCTCAACTCTAACAGGATATAATAGGCATTATCTCTTCCTCTACCAAAATGGTTCTTAAATATTAAGAAGTGTTTACATCCCCAATACTTAATCAACCTACTGTAATGCATCCATTTTAAGTTAGCAATTCAGCACTAGCAAGTTAAGCAGGAACTGTTGTCCCAGGGACGGCACTCTTTCCTTTTGGGCTAGCATTCCCCAGCCCACAGCTACCAGATGTGAGTGTCACAACTCTCAT